CGTGCAGGAAGTGCAGCGGACGCTCTTCATTTGCGAGCGCCGATGACCGATGATGCTCACAACCCTCCCACGCCCTTGCTGGCTTGGCAAGAGGCCCAGACAAGCGCAGCCACGTGACCCGGCAGAAGAAAAACGCTTGGAACGAGCGCTTCCAGCCCCAAAACATGGAAGGGTCAGCACATGTGCAGGAAGTGTAGCGGACGCTCTTCATTCGCGTGCACCGATGACCGATGATACTAGCAACCCTCCCACGCCCTTGATGGCTTGGCAATAGGCCCAAACAAGCGCAGCCACGTGACTCGGCGGAAGAAAAAAGCTCGGAACGAGCGCTTCCAGCCAAAAAATGCGGAAGGATCCGCACATGTGCAGGAAGTGCAGCAGGCGCTCTTCATTCGCGAGCGCCGATGACAGATGATGCTCGCAACCCTCCCACGCCCTTACTGGCTTGGCAAGAGGACCAGACAAGCGCAGCCACGTGATCTGTTGGAAGAAAAACGCTCAGAATGAGCGCTTTCACCCCCAAAACGCGGAAGGATCCGCACATGTGGAGGAAGTGCAGCGGGCGCTCTTCATTCGCGAGCGCCGATGACCGATGATGCTCGCAACCCTCCCACGCCCTTACTGGCTTGGCAAGAGGACTAGACAAGCGCAGCCACGTGATCTGTTGGAAGAAAAACGCTCGGAATGAGCGCTTTCACCCCCAAAACGCGGAAGGATCCGCACATGTGGAGGAAGTGCAGCGGGCGCTCTTCATTCGCGAGCGCCGATGACCGATGATGCTCGCAACCCTCCCACGACCTTGCTGGCTTGGCAAGAGGACCAGACAAGCGCAACCACGTGACCCGGCGGAAGAAAAACGCTCAGAACGAGCGCTTTTACCCCCATAATGTGGAAGGATCCGCACATGTGCAGGAAGTGCAGCGGGCGCTCTTCATTCGCGAGCGCCGATGACCGATGATGCTCGCAACCCTCCCACGCCCTTGCTGGCTTGGCAAGTTGACCAGACAAACGTAGCCTCGTGACTTGGCGGAAGAAAAACGCTTGGAATGAGCGCTTCTACCCCCAAAATGCTGAAGGATCCGCATTCGTGCAGGAAGTGCAGCGGGCGCTCTTCATTCGCGAGCGCCGATGACCGATGATGCTCGCAACCCTCCCACGCCCTTACTGGCTTGGCAAGAGGACCAGACAAGCGCAGCCACGTGATCTGTTGGAAGAAAAACGCTCCGAATCAGCGCTACCACCCCCAAAACGCGGAAGGAAGTGCAACTGGCGCTCTTCATTCACGAGCGCCGATGACCGATGATGCTCGCAACCCTCCCACGCCTTTGATGGCTTGGCAACAAGCCCAAACAAGCGCAGCCACGTGACCCGGCAGAAGAAAAACGCTTGGAACGAGCGCTTCCAGCCCCAAAACATGGAAGGGTCAGCACATGTGCAGGAAGTGCAGCGGGCGCTCTTCATTCGCGAGCACCGATGACCGATGATACTAGCAACCCTCCCACGCCCTTGCTGGCTTGGCAATAGGCCCAAACAAGCGCAGCCACGTGACTCGGCGGAAGAAAAAAGCTCGGAACGAGTGCTTCCAGCCAAAAAACGCGGAAGGATCCGCACATGTGCAGGAAGTGCAGCGGGCGCTCTTCATTCGCGAGCGCCGATGACCGATGATGCTCGCAACCCTCCCACGCCCTTACTGGCTTGGCAAGAGGACTAGACAAGCGCAGCCACGTGATCTGTTGGAAGAAAAACGCTCGGAATGAGCGCTTTCACCCCCAAAACGCGGAAGGATCCGCACATGTGGAGGAAGTGCAGCGGGCGCTCTTCATTCGCGAGCGCCGATGACCGATGATGCTCGCAACCCTCCCACGACCTTGCTGGCTTGGCAAGAGGACCAGACAAGCGCAACCACGTGACCCGCGGAGGAAAAACGCTCAGAACGAGCGCTTTCACCCCCATAATGTGGAAGAATCCGCACATGTGGAGGAAGTGCAGCGGGCGCTCTTCATTCGCGAGCGCCGATGACCGATGATGCTCGCAACCCTCCCACGCCCTTGCAAGCTTGGCAAGTAGACCAGAAAAGCGTAGCCTTGTGACTTGGCGGAAGAATAAAGCTTAGAATGAGCGCTTCTACCCCCAAAATGCTGAAGGATCCGCATTCGTGCAGGAAGTGCAGCGGACGCTCTTCATTCGCGAGCGCCAATGACCGATGATGCTCGCAACCCTCCCACGCCCTTGCTGGCTTGGCAAGAGGACTAGACAAGCGCAGCCACGTGACCCGGCGGAAGAAAAACGCTTGGAGTGAGCGCTTCTACCCCCCAAATGCGGAATGATCCGCATTCGTGCAGGAAGTGCAGCGGGCGCTCTTCATTTGCGAGCGCCGATGACCGATGATGCTCGCAACCCTCCCACGCCCTTGTTGGCTTGGCAAGAGGACCAGACAAGTGCAGCCACGTGATCTGTTGGAAGAAAAACGCTCGGAATGAGCGCTACCACCCCCAAAACGCGGAAGGATCCGCACATGTGGAGGAAGTGCAGCGGGCGCTCTTCATTCGCGAGCGCCGATGACCAATGATGCTCGCAACCCTCCCAGACCCTTGATGGCTTGGCAAGAGGACCAGACAAGTGCAGCCACGTGATCTGTTGGAAGAAAAACGCTCGGAATGAGCGCTACCACCCCCAAAACGCGGACGGATCCGCACATGTGGAGGAAGTGCAGCGGGCACTCTTCATTCGCGAGCACCGATGACCGATGATGCTCGCAACCCTCCCATGCCCTTGCTGGCTTGGCAAGAGGACCAGACAAGTGCAGCCACGTGACTTGGCGGAAGAAAAACGCTTGGAATGAGCGCTTCTACCCCCAAAATGCTGAAGGATCCGCATTCGTGCAGGAAGTGCAGCGGACGCTCTTCATTTGCGAGCGCCGATGACCAATGATGCTCGCAACCCTCCCACGCCCTTGCTGGCTTGGCAACAGGCCTAGACAAGCGCAGCCACGTGACCCGGCAGAAGAAAAACGCTTGGAACGAGTGCTTCCAGCCCCAAAACATGGAAGGGTCAGCACATGTGCAGGAAGTGTAGCGGGCGCTTTTCATTCGCGTGCACCGATGACCGATGATACTAGCAACCCTCCCACGCCCTTGATGGCTTGGCAATAGGCCCAAACAAGCGCAGCCACGTGACTCGGCGGAAGAAAAAAGCTCGGAACGAGCGCTTCCAGCCAAAAAATGCGGAAGGATCCGCACATGTGGAGGAAGTGCAGCGGGCGCTCTTCATTCGCGAGCGTCGATGACAAATGATGCTCGTAACCCTCCCACGCCCTAACTGGCTTGGCAAGACGACCAGACAAGCGCAGCCACGTGATCTGTTGGAAGAAAAACGCTCAGAATTAGCGCTATCACCCCCAAAACGCGGAAGGATCCGCACATGTGGAGGAAGTGCAGCGGGCGCTCTTCATTCGCGAGCGCCGATGACCGATGATGCTCGCAACCCTCCCACGACCTTGCTGGCTTGGCAAGAGGACCAGACAAGCGCAGCCACTTGACCCGGCGGAAGAAAAACGCTCAGATTGAGCGCTTTCACCCCCATAATGTGGAAGGATCCGCACATGTGCAGGAAGTGCAGCGGGCGCTCTTCATTCGCGAGCGCCGATGACCGATGATGCTCGCAACTCTCCCAGACCCTTGATGGCTTGGCAAGAGGACCAGACAAGTGCAGCCACGTGATATGTTGGAAGAAAAACGCTCGTAAAGAGCGCTACCACCCCCAAAACGCGGACGGATCCGCACATGTGGAGGAAGTGCAGCGGGCACTCTTCATTCGCGAGCGCCGATGACCGATGATGCTCGAAACCCTCCCACGCCCTTGCTGGCTTGGCAGACAAGTGCAGCCACGTGACTTGGCGGAAGAAAAACGCTTGGAATGAGCGCTTCTACCCCCAAAATGCTGAAGGATCCGCATTCGTGCAGGAAGTGCAGCGGACGCTCTTCATTTGCGAGCGCCGATGACCGATGATGCTCACAATGTCAAACATTATATGTTTATATGATTGTAGGCTGTAGTGGGTTACACCTTAGGGGGTACACTAGATTAGGGTTTCCTACTTGTATCCAACTTTGTGCTAGTACAGTCATTCCTGTCTGTTGATTCCGACATGGTTTCAGAGCAGGTCCTTCGCTAGGACCGTTCTTAGGGCCCACCGCTACCTACCTACCTACCTACCTACCGTGCGCCCTCGTGCGCCTACGCGCCTCAGTGCGCCTCCTACCTACCGCGCGCGCGCAGCCCGCCAGCCAATCGCGCGGCTCGTTTTCTAGTTTTTAACCGCGCGCGACCCGCTAGCTGCCCGCGCGCGGCTGACTTCTTTTGAGCGCGACCAGCTCGCCGCCCGTGCGCCGCTCGCACCGCTATAGCGCAGCCCGCAGCGGCCCCGCCGGCCTGCACATTGCCGCCCGCCCGCTGCAGCGCCCGCCCGCTCGTCGCCCGCTGCAGCTGCCGCCCGCTCGTCGCCCGCTGCTGCTGCCGCCCGCTCGTCGCTCGCTGCTGCTGCCGCCCGCTCGTTGCCCACTGCAGCTGCCGCCCGCTCGTCGCCCGCTGCTGCTGCCGCCCGCTCGTCGCCCGCTGCAGCGCCTGCCCGCTCGTCGCCCGCTGCAGCTGCCGCCCGCTCGTCGCCCGCTGCTGCTGCCGCCCGCTCGTCGCCCGCTGCAGCTGCCGCCTGCTCGTCGCCCGCTGCAGCTGCCGCTACCACGGGCCCGCCGCTGCAGCTACTGTCTGCGCGTCGCCCGCAGCCGCTCCCGCTCGTGAGCCGTGGCCGCTACCGCCCGTGCGCTCCTGTTGCGCCTGCTTCCGCTGCCGCTGCTGCACTCGCTCCCACTGCGGCCGCCGCTACTGCGCCCACTGCCGCTCCTGCCCGTGCGCATCAGCTGCTGCCGCCCGTGTGCTGACACTGCCCACAGCTTCCCTGCGGCCTCATTCTTACTGTTTCTACCGCTACTGCTACTGCAACTATGGCTACTCCTACTGTACTTACTTTCGATGCTGAGGGCCGTCCAGTGAAGTTCGAAACCTGGCTCGATGACCTCCACCTCTTTCTACAGCTCACTGCTAAGGAGGACGTTTCACTGTACGATCACGCCCTAGGCAACGCTACTGCCCCTCCTACCACTGCTGACAGCACTCAGCGCTCACAGTGGCAGACTCGTGACGCCCACGCTCGCTTCGCTATTCGTAACTCCCTACCGATCGACGAGCGCGAGCACTTTGGCCAGCACAAAACTGCTAAGGACCTGTACACTGCTGTAGTCGCTCGCTACTCCTCCCCCGCTTCTGCCACACTAGGCCGCCTCACTCTCCCCTACCTGTTCCCCGACCTGGCCTCCTTTCAGACAGTTGCTGACCTCATCACCCACCTTAAGACCAGTGAGGCCCGCTTTCGCGCTGCTATGCCTGACGAGTTCCTCACCAGCAACCCCCCCCCGCTCTGGATCACTCTCTACCACATAGTCACCCGCCTCCCCGACTCCCTGCGCACAGTCAGGGACCACTTCCTCTCTCGCTCCCCCACTGAACTCACCATTGCCCTCCTCGAGAAGGAACTGCTTGCAGCTGAGGCGAGCATCGTCGCTGTAGGCACCTCTCGTGGCGACCCCCGCACCCCGTTCTTTGAGGGGTGTTCCCCTTCCCCTCTCCTCCCCTCTGTCGCCTCTGCTGCTGCTGTCGACCTCCTTGGTGCTGAGAAGGTCGGGGCCGCGTCTGCTTCGAGCGGGCGCCGCAAGAGCAAAGGGGGCAAGGGTGGAGGTGGCGGCGGAGGAGGTGGGGGTGGAGGCGGTGGGAGTGGAGGAGCGGCTGGGGAGGCTAGTGGCGGCAGGGGTGGAGGCGGCAGCGGAGGCGGAGGTGGTCGTGGCAGCGGCAGGGGTGGAGGTGGCTGAGGCGGTGGCGGCGGCATTGGTGGTCGTGGAGGCGCTGGCGGTGGCCAGAGTCAGCAGCCCGCCCCGTCGCTTCAGGCCGCCCGTGAGTGGTATGCGCAGCGTGGCTTTACCTGCACGTACGTCATTCGCACTGGTGACCGCACTGGCCAGCAGTGTGGGAGGCCGCATCCCACACAGCGCTGTTTCGCGCGCCTTACTGACGCGTGGCGTGCCCAGTTTCCTGATGCCACTGAGCTGCCCCGCTGGGCTGATCTGGAGAAGAAGGGAGTTGATATCTGGGCTTTAGACTTTGATGCTATTCTCACTGCCATGTATGCGATGTTTACTAGTGGAGAGGGTGCTCAGTACTTGCGTGTTCCGCCCGACCCGGGCATTCAGACCAGTCCGGCTGCCGCTCTAGGTGCTAGTGAGTCTGCTGCCCCAGGTCCTGGTGAGGCTGCTGCTCTAGGTGCTAGTGAGTCCGTGCCCTCTGGTACTGAGTCGACTGCAGCACTGCACACCTTCACACTGGACTCAGGTGCTTCTCGCTGTTTCTTTCGTGACCGCACTGCCCTTGAGCCGCTTGCTCGGCCAGTTGCTGTCTCCCTTGCTGACCCCTCAGGGGGTCCGGTCGTTGCGACCTCCTCCACTGTCCTTCCTTGTCCTGCGGTCCCGTCAGGCACACTGTCAGGCCTCTACCTCCCCTCGTTCTCTACGAACTTGGTGGCAGGTAGTGCGCTCCAGGATGGGGGTGTTCACCAGTTCACCCCTGCTTACGAGCGCGTGACCCACTGCACGTGTGCTCGGACGGGCCGTCACCTGGCTACCTTCACTCGGCAGCCGGGGTCGGACCTGTACACACTGACCACTGAGTCCCCTCAGGTAGCTGCGTCCGCGTCTGCGTCTGCGTCAGGTCAGCTGTCCGCCCCCTGCTCGTGTCGCTCTCTGGCGCATGAGACTGTCCTCTGGCACCACCGCCTTGGTCACCCGTCTGTGCAGCGCCTTCGGGCCATGCACAAACGGGACCTTGTTGCTGGTCTTCCCAGGGTTCTCCCTCCCCTCCCACCCTCGCCTGCTCCTCCCTGTCTTCCCTGTGTCGAGGGGCGGCAGCGCGCCGCTCCTCACTCCTCCTCCTTCCCCCCGACGACTGCTCCTTTGCAGACGCTCCACATGGACGTGTGGGGCCCAGCCCGCGTCCGTGGTCAGGGTCAGGAGAGGTACTTCCTGATTGTTGTTGACGACTTCTCGCGCTACACCACGGTCTTCCCCTTACGCACCAAGGGTGACGTCCCTGATGTCTTGATCCCTTGGATCCGCAGATCTCGTCTCCAGCTCAGTGAGCGTTTCCGCTCCGACTTCCCTGTCCTGCGTCTGCACTCTGACAGAGGTGGGGAGTTTTCCTCTGGCCTCTTGGAGGCCTTCTGTCAGCAGGAGGGCATTGAGCAGTCGTTCACGCTTCCGGCCTCTCCACAGCAGAATGGGGTTGCTGAGCGCCGCATTGGCTTGGTCATGGAGGTCGCTCGTACCTCCTTGGTTCATGCGGCTGCCCCCCACTTTCTGTGGCCGTTTGCAGTCCGATACGCTGCGCATCAGCTCAACCTCTGGCCCCGTGTCTCCTTACCGGAGACTTCTCCGACACTGCGTTGGACGGGAGAGGCTGGCGATGCGTCGCGTTTTCGGGTCTGGGGATCTCGAGCTTTTGTTCGCGATACGTCCGCGGACAAGCTCTCCCGTCGAGCTGTCCCCTGTGTCTTCCTTGGCTTTGTCCCGGACGCGCCTGGTTGGCAGTTTTACCACGCCACCTCGCGTCGTGTCCTGGCCTCTCAGGACGTCACTTTTGACGAGTCCGTCCCCTACTACCGCCTCTTCCCCTACCGCACTGCCCCGCTCCCCCCCCGCCTCTCTTCCTCGCTCCAGGTGCTGAGGTACCAGACCCCCTCCCCCCTCAGGGTGCCGCTCCCTCAGGTGTGTCCCAGGTAGACCCGGTTGAGCCTGTCGAGGTAGCTGTTGACTCTCGTCCTGCTGGGGGTACTGAGCCTGACCGTGAGGCATCTGAGGGTGCTGAGCCTGGGGGTGCGGAGCCTGGAGGTGCTGAGCCTGGGGGTGCGGAGCCTGGAGGTGCTGAGCCTGGAGGTGCTGCGTCTGGGGGTGCTGCGTCTGGGGGTGCTGAGCCTGGGGGTGCTGAGCCTGACCGTGCTGAGTCTGGGGGTGCGGAGCCTGGGGGTGCGGAGTCTGGAGGTGCTGAGCCTGGGGGTGCTGTGTCTGGAGGTGCTGAGCCTGAGCGTGCTACACCTGGAGGAGCCCTCTCCTCCCAGCAGCTGCAGGAGAGGTACCTACAGTACTGCCGCCTCCGGAGAGGTGCTGCTGGAGCTCGTACCAGTACTTCCCCTCCTACCCAGGAGCTCCCCCCCATTCAGCAGATCCGAGAGTGGTACGCGCGGCGCTGCAGTCTTCGGAGTGGTGCTCCTGGTGCTGCAGACCCTGGGGGTGGCGCTGCTTCTGGTACTGAGGACCCGGGCGTTGGAGCTGCTGCTGGTGCTGAGGACCTGGGCGGTGGCGCTGCTGCTGGTGCTGAGGACCCGGGCGGTGGAGCTGCTGCTGGTGCTGAGGACCCGGGCGTTGGAGCTGCTGCTGGTGCTGAGGGATGGAAGTGAAGGGAATTTGAGTGAGGGGGAATACAAGTGAGGGGGGATGGAAGTGAGGGGAAATTGAGTGAGGGGAAATACAAGTGAGGGGAAATAAAGTGAGGGGGGATTTCCTCTGACTCCATTCCCCCTCACTCACAAAATACGGGGAAAAAACGAGTGAGGGGAAATATAAGTGAGGGGAAATGTAGTGAGGGGGAAGGGAGTAAGGGGGAATAGAAGTGAGGGGAAACAAAGTGAGTGGGATAGGGATAAGGAGGGATGGAAGTGAGGGAAGTGAGGGGGAATACAAGTGAGGGGGGATGGAAGTGAGGGGAAATTGAGTGAGGGGAAATACAAGTGAGGGGAAATGAAGTGAGGGGGAAGAGAGTGAGGGGGGATGGAAGTGAGGGGAAATGAAGTGAGGGGGGATTGTCTTTCACTCCATTCCCCCTCACTCACAGAAGTGGGGGGAAAACGAGTGAGGGGAAATATAAGTGAGGGGAAATGTAGTGAGGGGGAAGAGAGTGAGGGGGAATGAAAGTGAGGGGAAACAAAGTAAGGGAGCGGGACAGGGATGAGGAGGGATGGAAGTGAGGGGGAATTGAGTAAGGGGGATTACAAGTGAGGGGGGATGGAAGTGAGGGGAAATTGAGTGAGGGGAAATACAAGTGAGGGGAAATGAAGTGAGGGGGAATTGAGTGAGGGGGGATGGAAGTGAGGGGAAATGAAGTGAGGGGGGATTTCCTCTCACTCCATTCCCCCTCACTCACAGAAGTGGGGGGAAAACGAGTGAGGGGAAAAATAAGTGAGGGGAAATGAGGTCAGGGGGAAGGGAGTGAGGGGGAATGGAAGTGAGGGGAAACAAAGTGAGGGGGACAGGGATGAGGAGGGATGGAAGTGAGGGGAAATTGAGTGAGGGGGAATACAAGTGAGGGGGGATGGAAGTGAGGGGAAATTGAGCGAGGGGAAATATCGAGGGGAAATGAAGTGAGGGGGAAGAGGAAGAGGGGGGATGGAAGTGAGGGGAAATGAAGTGAGGGGGGATTTCCCTTCACTCCATTCCCCCTCACTCACAGAAGTGGGGGGAAAACGAGTGAGGGGAAATATAAGTGAGGGGAAATGTAGTGAGGGGGAAGGGAGTGAGGGGGAATGGAAGTGAGGGGAAAAAAAGTAAGGGGGACAGGGATGAGGAGGGATGGAAGTGAGGGGAAATTGAGTGAGGGGAAATACAAGTGAGGAGGGATGGAAGTGAGGGGAAATTGAGTGAGGGGAAATACAAGTGAGGGGAAATGAAGTGAGGGGGAAGAGAGTGAGGGGGGATGGAAGTGATGGAAAATGAAGTGAGGGGGGATTTCCTCTCACTCCATTCCCCCTCACTCACAGAAGTGGGGGGAAAACGAGTGAGGGGAAATATAAGTGAGGGGAAATGTAGTGAGGGGGAAGGGAGTGAGGGGGAATGGAAGTGAGGGGAAACAAAGTGAGGGGGACAGGGATGAGGAGGGATGGAAGTGAGGGGAAATTGAGTGAGGGGGAATACAAGTGAGGGGGGATGGAAGTGAGGGGAAATCGAGTGAGGGGAAATATCGAGGGGAAATGAAGTGAGGAGGAAGAGAGTGAGGGGGGATGGAAGTGAGGGGAAATAAAGTGAGGGGGGATCTCCTCTCACTCCATTCTCCCTCACTCACAGATTAGGGTTTAGGGTTTAGGGTATAGGATTTAGGGTTTAGGGTTTAGGGTTTAGGTTTAGGGTTTAGGGTTTAGGTTTAGGGTTAGGGTTCAGGGTTCAGGGTTCAGGGTTCAGGGTTCAGGGTTCAGGGTTCAGGGTTCAGGGTTCAGGGTTCAGGGTTCAGGGTTCAGGGTTCAGGGTTCAGGGTTCAGGGTTCAGGGTTCAGGGTTCAGGGTTCAGGGTTCAGGGTTCAGGGTTCAGGGTTCAGGGTTCAGGGTTCAGGGTTCAGGGTTCAGGGTTCAGGGTTCAGGGTTCAGGGTTCAGGGTTCAGGGTTCAGGGTTCAGGGTTCAGGGTTCAGGGTTCAGGGTTCAGGGTTCAGGGTTCAGGGTTCAGGGTTCAGGGTTCAGGG